TCGCCGGAATGCAATCTGAAATTCTCATGATGTCGACTATTATCAAATCACTCAATCCCTAATTCATGTTTAGTTTATCTTGTCACCATCCCATACTAATTTCTATTACTTTGGGGTCTAACTTTTCCTTCTGGTAATCACGTTAGAGTCACGAACTTATTTCTCGAAATGAGGATATGACTTTATGGCATGTACTCTTTTGTTGTCTCAAGGCCTGTCACCTTTCGTCTTTTCCTTTGCTTGACTATAGACTCTGTAATACTGTCATTTTTGTTATCTACCGTTGTTATCCATGTATCACATCTTACTCATAATGCTTCATTAACTCTCTTCTTATTTCCCTGCTAACATTTCTATCACTTTATTCTGAAAACTTCAACAAGACATTCTTTTGCTTTTAGCTCCCCATGATCCATCCGCTGGCTCTTCGAGTTGCCTAACATTCTCTCTCTACTAGGGACGGGATCCACACTAAGGTAATATTTATCCTTTCCAGGCTTCCAGTGCCTATCTTTGTAATTTTGTTTTTGAACATTCTAGTATTCATATCTAGTTGTACTATTGTAGAGTGCACCATCCGGGTGTTTCGCAAGGAGATCTATTAGCATATTTGCAATATCCTTCAGAAATGTCAACTAATGCAAACAATCCATCCACCATTTTAGGTTACTCTAAACCCAGCCGGATCTTGATATCCCGTCCTTCTCTTAAACTATACTTGTTAGCCCCCATAAGGCGTAACTGAAATGGGTGTGACCAATTGTACATACCTCTGTTACTGTCGAAGGTAACTCAAAATGCTTATATCTCTCTTCCTGAATTGTAGATAATGATCATCTTCACTAACTAGGTACATCGTACCCTTCTTCACCTTGCTTCTTTTACTTGTTGAAACTTGTACCTTCTAATTCTCTCGTTGCTTTTTACCATATGGGTGGATAGATATTCATGCCTTAAGGATCCTTAACAAGAAGCTTACACATCTTGGTACACACATGATCTCCTGAAGACCTTAAATTTACTCATCATAAGCATCATGCAAAATCGAGTTCCTCTGACTCAACTCTTCCACATCCACATGCAATCTCTTACCAACTGTCTTTCTGGATATAGGTATCGTTGTATTATGAATAAAATCGAATTTAGGAGTTTGAATTCTTACAACTCAGCTCTACCACACTATCTAGACTAAGAAGAAAGAGTGACAGTCCTAAATGCCCTAAAGCCTCCTGCTTATAAGTGTGGTACACAACACACCCATAAACAAGACTCTACAAGACACGGCTTGTAGACTCCCTATGATAGAACTGCTACGATACCACTTTTGTCACGACCCAAAACGATGGGCCGTGACGGGCACCCGGTGCCTTACTCAACCGAGTGCCAACATAACATATCTTTTGTGTCGTACTATCATAGGTAAATGAGCCGGAAAGGTTGTCATGAGATAACTACAATAAAGCAAGAGGAAATACTTGACATAGGATGACCCAACATGATATACCGACTTATACATATGACGTACGGGCCTATAAGGCCGGCATGATCCTTTATATACTCAAAACATTAGCCGATAAGGCCATACAAGTATCTGTATACATGACATCTGTCTTCAAGCCTCTAAGAGTACATAATCTCATAAAGGTCGGGACAGGACCCCGCCAGACCAATCAATACATGTACTAATCATACTGACCAAATAAGCAACTCCGGAGCAAATGGAGCGCACCAACACCTTCCGCTGAGCTGATAGCCTACTTGGAGGACTCTCAACCTGTCTATCGGGACCTGCGGGCATGAAACGCAACGTCTCCAGACAAAAGGGACGTCAGTACAAATAATGTACCGAGTATGTAAGGAATGAAAATCTGTAAATAATAGACATGAGAGAAACATGGAGTAAAAGACTCAACATGTACGTCTGAATAGCTCTGTGAATTATTCAATTTTTATAATGTCATGCATATGCGTATAAATGTCATACCAGTACATAACATCATCAAGCCTCTGAGGGCATCCCATCATATCATCGCAGCCACTGTGGGCAAACTCATCAACGTATACCAGCTGATTTAGTGATGGTGCGTATATAACGTCATAACATTTCCTCATACCCCATATACATATATGTACATATATATACGTGTATATAACAACATCTAGTCATGGGTCAATGTACATGTATAAATGAATGCAATGCATGAGAAGTACGTTAATAAAATCTCTCGGAACGTCATAAGACCATTATGCCTTTGATTAATGTCATGAAATAAACTTTATCAACTTAATGGATCATGTCAAAAGGAAAGAAGGGATAGCCTTAACATACCTGAGTCGATTCTCTTGACAATCCCTCTAACACACGTCAATTGCGACAAAACACGTAACGGCAGATCGAAGTAGGGAAAAATCCGTATGATATTCTTGAGAAAGATTGTATCGTGCTCTCTTAGAATTGCATCTCGACCAATCCAGATTCGCGCTTCTTTTTCCTTTCCGTATTTGTACACTCAACATAATGTACTGTTAGAGGTACTATTCATGTAGAAGCTAAATCTCTCACTTGGAAAAGATGAACAAAGAAATGGCTTTAGGAAAAGTTATATCATTCGTTACTTTAGCTCATACACCTCCCCGTTAATGATATAGGAAGATGTTTTGAAATTTTAGGTTGTAGCCCCCACTTCTTTGTGATGACTAAGCCACAAAACTCTTTAGATGTGCCACCTTGCTTTGTGAGTAAAGAGTCACTTAATTGATCAAATCTTGCTGCCACGGTGGGGGGGGGGGGGAGGATTTTCCATCCAATAATTATCCACTCATTTCCGTAATTAACTTGTTAATCCCCCACTAATTTAATAATTAACTAATTATCCACATGTATCTCAAATTACTTAAAATACTAATCATTTTTAACATACTTTTTACACCTTATTATCATGGTCATGTAGTACCTTGTATGGCACTAGTTCATAAATACGGGGTATTATAGCTTGGACCGTATTTGAACTCAAAGTGTCAAACTTCGATGAAACTCATTTTTTTCGATTCGCTTGCCCTCTCACCTTCACGAACTTGTTTGAAGTAGCATAATACTTAGAACCTCAAAAATAATCTCATTCCCGAGCTTACGTCGATTAACTTACGATGAAACTTTAACGTACAAAAATGTGGGATGTAACATCTCATTTCCGAGCTTATATCAATTTACTTATGGCGTACTTCTACGTACGAAAATATGGGGTGTAATAATTTTCTCTTAAAAAGTTAGCTCTATGCCGAGCTCTAATGAGAAGATGGTGAAAAATGGGTGAAATATCGATTTTTGGAAGTTTTAGAGTCTGGGTGTCAGGTGTTCTTCGCGTTCGCGAAGCACTTGACGTGTTCACGAAGAGCACTGGCCAAAAGGCCATCGTGATCGCGGTCACCTCTTTGCGAAGGCTTAGACCCCCCCCCCCCCCCCCCTTGCCTTCACGTTTGCGAGCCTGAGCTCGCGTTCGCATAGAGTGACCTGCCCAAATCCCCCAGAACGTGTGGGTGGTCGCGTTCGTGAAGGGCAAGCCCCCCAAAGCTTCGCTTTCGCGAGTTGTTCCTTGCCTTCGCGTAGGGTAAATCCACCCCCATCCCAAGTTACTCTTCGCGTTCACGAGAGTAGCTTCGCTATCGCGGAGAAGGATGCATTAGACATCAGCAGACCTCAGAAACCAACATTCTTCTAAGTTCAATAACATCCGTAGCCTATCCAAAACTCACCCGAGCCCCTCGGGCTCCAAAGAAAACATGCACACAAGTGTAATAACACTATACTAACTCGCTAGCGCGATCAAAACACTAAAATAACACATAGAACTACGAATCGGACATCAAAAGGAATGATATTTTCAAAGAAACTCAAGAACATGCCATTTTACAACCGGATGTCTGAATCACGTCAGATCAACTCCGTTTTACACCAAATTTTGCAGGCAAGTCATAAATACTGAAATGAACCTATTCAAAGTTTCGGAAACAAAATCCGAACCCGGTAGCATCAAAGTCAACTTACGGTCAAACTTAGGAATTCTTTAAACCTTTAAATTGCTAGTTTTCAACAAATTACGTCAAATCAAGTTAGGGACTTCCGAATTCGATTCCGGCATACGCTCAAGTCCCAAATCACAAAAAGGACACACCGGGACCGTCAAAATACTGATCTGGGTTCGTTTACACAAAATGTTGACCGTAGTCAACTCAAATGAGTTTTTTAAATTAAATTTCACTTTTTCATAGATTTTTCACATAAAAAATTTTCGGAAAAAGACACCAACTGCCACGCAAATCGAGGAAGGCTAAAACGGAGCTATTCGAGGTCTCGAAACACAAAAATGAAGGTTAAAATTGAAAATGACCTGTCGATCATCACAAATACTTTACTCAAAACTTTTCAAAACACATTACATTATTACCAATTCTATGTGTTGGACCACAAATATGAAATATATTTCTCGTTTTCTAACCAACACCAAAAAAGATTGTATGACAGTTTCAATTTCTACTCTTGCTATGTGATTTTTGAGATGTCAAACTCTGAAGAAAGAAAAAGGGATAACACTTGGACTATTCTGGAACGTGATAGAAGATGTTTGAAGCACAAAACTAAGCTAAAGTCATTTTACCTGCTATGCTTGTCTTTCCCACTTCATCCTTGAATAAAACTTCACTAATGAGACGCTTATTTAAACTCTGCAAGCTTCCATTTCTTCTTATTTTGTTTAGTAGAATTAAGATAAAATGACTTCAACAATTAGCTAATTAGGACTATAAGAACTCTGATATCATTTGAAATTTGGAATATCTAATAGGAGTATAAAAGCTTCTCTTTGAAAGGCGGTCATTGAGGAGTTCAGAAAGGATTTGATCATGGACAGAGACTTCAACGATATTACCAAGTGGATCAAGGCAGTAGATAGTGAGTCCACCGCGAACAAGTTCAATAAATGGACCAAATACTCTTAAAGCAATGAGTGAAATAACTTCAGTATAATTCTAATATCCTTTCTAAGATCATAGCAGAAAGTATCGGTAAGGTTTTACATGGTCTCTCTTTTGGCCTCATAAATTAAACCAAATTATATCAGAGAGAGAGAGAGAGAGAGAGAGAGAGAGAGAGAGCAAAGATGGAGATGTGATTAGTTTGACAATCTTTACTCACTACATATTTGTTAAATTAAGAGCTAATCAGGAGGTCCAGAATCAGAGATGCAACAAATATACGGTAGGAAGAAGAAGCCAAAGATTGAAGAGAAAAGACGCCAATGACAAAATCCAAGACAAGAAAGCCATGGCAGCAGAGAGTTGATATCGTCTGCACATATTCCCATTGCAATATGGACTACCACCAGAAGCAATTAAGTAATCAGTGGCACTAGCTGTGGAACACGCCGTAGCCAGTGACAGAAATGAAAGAACCTGTTATGAATCCAAGACTACTATATTTGATCAGAACAATATTTTACAGCAAAGTTGACGGTCAATTTATCAAGGCACATACCCAATCTACTCCAATGAGAAATGGTAATATCCCGGGCTGATGAGATGAGCGTTTGACCAACAGCGAAAATGCATCAATCACTGCCAAACCCAAGTTCCATGGTGTTACGAAACTCATGGTTGCCACCAGAAAGCTGCCAACAACAAAAGGTGAAATAGGTAATTTAACAGAGAAATTGCACCTCTGCAACTAGAAGATTGTGCATTGGTATTCTTTTCACATAAAATGATGTCTATGCAGAAGCCACTGCATTGTAAGAACATATAACTATCAAGATATAAGATTCTTACAACTGATTATCTGTGTTCTATGCTCATGTAAGCATGAACTAAAGCAGAATGTGAAACTAACTGGGAATGACTACTAATCAGTTATTTTTTGTTTGGTGACATCTGCTACTCAGGTAACCAGTAATATTCTGGAGCTTAGCATTCAAGAAACTCCTACTTCTGGAAGAATAAAAACATGGAAAAGAAAATGCAGTAGTAGCACATTATAAACAAAAAGAGTTGTTTATTTGAGATAATCATCAACCAATTGTAATACAAAAGCTACGGACTTACAAAAGTTATTGATGCTAGAAAGCTTGTCTTCTGGAAAGATAAGAAAATGAAAATGCAGGAATAGCACCTTAGGAACAGAAATATGATTTCAATCATCAATGACCATAAACCATGGGCTTTACAACTTATAAACATAGAATCTGTAAAACAGGCTACGCCTATGTGATATCACCGAGGAGTGTGGTGAAATGGATGGAATCCCTCAGTTATTAAACAGTGTTCTCGGGTTCAAGCCCCTTCTAACGGGCCTTATGTGGCCCGAAATCTGGATTATTCAACCAGTGAGTTCCGAGTTCCGGATATCAGATGGTTATACCAAAAAAAAAAAAAAGAATAAGGACTACACATGTGAGATATATCTCACAAACATCTAGTTTCACTATAATGCTCCAATTAGTATAACAACTGCATAGATTACTCCAAGAAGCATAAATCTCAACTAAGCACTTCCTGATTGCGGCTCTTATGACAAAACTCTGGATACAGACGGATAGGTAAACAAAGCATGCAATATGACCAATCCTAACATTCTCAGGAAATATTTATAACCTCAATTCTGCATTCAAATCTTCAATACCCAATTAACTACTCCAACAAAATAAAACAATCGTATATCCAACATAACTTCCTTAAGTTCGTGTAACTAGTCCTTTGAGACTCCATATTGGAGATGAACTTCACATGTCTCTTGTAAAGATCCTTTTATTAACCCTAGACTAGCTTTAAATTTTCAGAGAAAGTCTCCTCCCAAAGCTCATCAAAGCTCTCTACTAGGTTTTCGCGAGGTAATTTCAGTAACACCCTTTAGATTGCTAATTTATCAAAGTGAAAGTTTTTCTACTGGTAAAGTTATGCACTAGAAAATTCGCTTATTCTACTATTACTATATCACATTTGATAAGATTTCCCCACCGTTCACCCAACATTTGTTAGTGCAAAAATGCATCTTAAACAACAAATAAACAGATCACAAATACAAGAAATGGGCAAATCATCCAGCATCAAAGGATTCTCATGTTAAATTCCCTCGCGACTTTCTTATCATTTTCAGGCAAGATATAGAGATGAAACTCTTAACAAAAATGAAAAAGAAGAGCCCCCAAATTCTTCAAAATCATAACCTTGTATGATAAATCGAAATTAAATAGATAGCAAAAATGAGAAAAATACGAAAAAAAGGACATGGATACAGAGAAGAAAAGAGAAGTAAGGAATCCAAATACCAGAAGGGGGGGTAGCTGTAGCTGTAGTAAGAAACATTCAAACACATGAAAAGGAGTGAAGCGGCAGAGAAAATAGCCTGTCCTAGTCTCAAAGCTAAACTGGCACTCGTCCCTATAGACCCCTGCAGTTTATTATCCATTTCATCACTGAAATTCCACAAAGTGATTGTATAATTCTGCTGAGCTTATGATATTCATAGATGTTCATTGTATCTATTCAATTATCTGTACTTTCTATAAAAGGAAAGAAGTGTAACCGAGTAAAGGGAAGGAATTTTGGGGAAGATAGTGATGTTGTAACGTAAGAATATCATACTATTTCCGATCTTTACTAATTCTATCTGGTTTTATTGAGCTGTGATTTTGTAAAGGGAATTTGGTTTGTCTGATAGGAAAAGGAATAGGGTTGCCTAAATGAGATTGTTGCATATGCATGATTGTTCCTCCCTCTGTTTCAACTACAATGACGAGCTGTCAAAATTAGAGGATAAAAGTTTGCTCAATAATTTTTAGTATCAAATTTTACATACTCAAAAATTATATCACATTTTTCTAAGCAAAGTATTTTTAAAAAAAATTTAGAATATAAAAGACAAAAAAAATAGAGGAATTACAATCAAACATCTCTATAACAGCCTCGTTTGTTCCGAATATTTTTGGATGTTATAGCGAAGTGCTGTTATAGAAAACATATATTATAACATAACATGAAGTTTGGTTCCGGAAAAGCTTGGCTTTTATAGGGTGTGTTTGGTATAAAGGAAAATATTTTCCGTGGAAAATGTTTTCCAAGAAAATATTTTCTTGGAAAACAAGTAGCAATCTTATTCATTTTTCGGTGTTTGGTACGCAAATTAAGGAAAATGACTTTTCAAGAGTATTCATAAATAATTTGGATATAATAAACATGAAGCCATAAACTTTCAAACCAACAACCTTCCGAACCCACATTTTTCATAAACTTTCAAACCGATAAACTTTCGAAACGGCGGAATCTCCAGCGCCGGCACTCGTCCAGGTAAACCAGGTAAGCACTCGTCCCTTTCTTTCTCTCCCCTCTCTCTCTCCTTTCTCTCTCCTTGTTTCTCTCTTTCTCCCCCTTTCTTTTAACCCTAGCAGTAGCTAGGCCAGAGACCGTCGCCCCACCGGCGCCGCCTCATCTTTCTTCTTCTTTTCCGGCTCCAATCACAACACCCTCCTCGGTGCTTCCCTTTCTTCAACTCATCGCATCGCTGTTTCTCAGATCAATACTATTTTCCAGCTAACCCGTACCGGTGACAGTCCCGCACTCCTCTCTTTTTCTTGGTCCCGTGGTTTGTTGTGTGTGTTTCAGGTGGCACTTTTGGTGGCTGTTTGGTGACGGGTAGGAGGTGCACGGGCAAGCGTAGCGGAGCAGGCCATTTGGCAGTCACAAGGGCTGGACGTCGGGGTCTAAAGCACCTAGGTTCTATTCGTGGGAATTGTTGCGGCTGCCCAGGCTAGCGCGAGGCATACGGGCGAGTAGAGTGGAGCATCACCGGCTAGTGTGTGCAAAGGTTGGCGGGAGTAGGAAGGACGCACGACAGATCTCCGTGACCTCGGGTGCATCTAAGTCATATTGCCAGGTTCTTTCCATCGGGAGTTGGTACCTCCCACTTTCTTGTCTCTTTCTTTGTGTTAGTTAAATTGTGGTTATTTAGTTAGCATCACTTTAAGCATATTATTAGAATACTTGTAGTTGCAACCGGTTATTTTCCAGCTTGGGTCTGTGTTAGTGTTTTTCTGGAGTTTGTCGTAGCTGTAGTGGTTGTGACTTGGGATGGTAGAGTAAGGCCATGTCCTCGAGGGGTGCCGGGGGTGAGACGAAGGGTGGGGAGGGGGTCAGTGGTTGGGACGAGAGGTAAGGAGGGTAAGGGGAAAGAGGGAACTTGTAGATTGAGGATCGGGTCATGGAACATAGGCACGCTGACGGGTAAGTCTATTGAGTTGGCAAAGATTCTCCAGAAGAGAAAGGTTAATATAGCGTGTGTCCAGAAAACTAGGTGGGCAGGGTCGAAGGCGAGGAATGCGGACGAGTATAAGCTGTGGTACGCTGGAGTCGTGAGGGGTAAGAATGGAGTGGGTATCTTGGTGGATAGGGACCTTAGAGAGTCTGTGGTTGAGGTTAGGCGAGTGAATGATAGGCTAATGTTTATTAAGTTGGTAGTTGGTGAGTGCACCCTCACTGTAATTAGCGCTTACGCGCCGCAAGCGGGCTTGGATGAGGAGGTTAAGAGGCGCTTTTGGGAGGACTTGGACGAGATTGTGCGTAGTATTCCACCTACTGAAAGGCTATTTATTGGAGGGGATTTTACTGCTAATAGTTATGGCGAGGTGCATGGTGGCTTTGGCTTTGGGGATAGGAATGGAGGAGGTACTTCGCTGTTAGACTTCGCTAAGGCTTTTGAGCTGGTGATTGCGAACTCGACTTTTCCGAAGAGGGAGGAGCATCTGGTTACTTTCCAGAGTTCGGCGGTGAAGACTCAAATCGGTTACCTTCTCCTCAGAAGGTGTGATAGAGGGTTGTGCAAGGATTGCAAGGTTATCCCGGGAGAGACCCTCGCGACTCAGCATAGGCTCTTAGTGATGGACATCGGCATTATGATGAAGAGGAAGAAGAGGTATGCTCGTGGCCGACCGAGGATTAGATGGGGAGCTTTAACCAAGGACAAAGCCCAGGAGTTGGAGGGGAGGTTATCCGCTATGGGATCTTGGAAGAGAAGTGGAGACGCGAGCACTATGTGGTCAACGACGGCGAACTGTGTGAGGAAGGCGGCAAGAGAGGTGCTAGGTATATCAAAGGGTTTTTCTGGCAGACACCAAGGAGACTGGTGGTGGAATACACAGTCCAAAGTAAAGTGGAGGCGAAGAAGGTAGCGTACGCGAAGTTAGCAGGGAGCACAAGCGAGGAGGAGAGGAGAGCGAATAGAGAGAGGTACAAAGTGGCTAGGAAGGAGGCAAAGCTGGCGGTCACGGAGGCTAAGAATGCAGCGTTTAGCCGTCTATACGAGGAATAGGGGGAGAAAGGCGGGAAAAGGAAGTTGTTTCGGCTGGCTAAAGCGAGGGAGAGGAAGGCCCGGGGTCTGGACCAAGTAGTGCATCAAAGACGAGGATGGTAGAGTATTGATGGGGGAGTCCCAGATTAAGCAGAGATGGCAGACATACTTCTACGGTCTTCTAAATGAGGAGGGAGATCGGGATATAGCGCTAGAGGACTTGGGGCATTCGGAGAGTCTTCGAGATTTTAGGTATTGCAGGCGCATTAAGGTGGAGGAGGTCGTGGGGGCTTTGCGTAAGATAAGTAGGGGTAGAGCGACCGGGCCAGATGAAATACCGGCTGAGTTTTGGAAGTGTGTGGGTCGAGCAGGATTGGAGTGGCTGACCGGGTTGTTTAATGTAATTTTTAGGACGAAGAGGATGCCGGATNTATTTCCAGCGCTAACTCATTCTTTAATCAACTAAAGTACAATGATTCAAGTTACTCAACTCAAGACAATCTGGGCAGTGTGCAAAAGTACCAGATCAGGAACCTGATCCCTTGGTGCTCCCCTGACAGAAGTCCAAGTCAACTATACAGCTGGAACACAACTGCAGAAAGTGACTGTCCGCAACTGTACAAAATGGAACACAACAGGGACCTGGTCTCTTAGTGTTCTCTGACAGAAGTACAAGTCAACTAGAGCTGGAAAGCAATTGCAGAAAGTGACTGCTGCAACAGTGCAACAGACAGTACAACAGACAGTGCAACAACCACTTTCCATTTTGATTGGACATCACCATTGAGATTGGACATCACTAAGGATGTCTCGTGTAGCATAAACCTTATGCAAGGCATAAGATTCAGGTTCAACACTTGCAAAATCAGAAAAGGAAAATATTCTTTCAAGTGCTCAAGAACCTCTCTCAAGAACAAAGCTGCTTCAACCTCAAGGACCCGATCCAAGATCGAAGATATTTTAAGTCCTTAGGTTGTTGAGTCTTTGTTATCTGTTCTTCATTGTAACTCTTATACAGCTTTCTTAGAAGCATTGATTAGGTTGAGTCATAAGAAAAATCCTTTGTAACCGTAGGGTGACAAAGTGGCTTGTGTTGGAAACATCACAAGTTAGTCAAAGCCTTTGTGACCGTAGTGTGACAAAGTGGCTTGTGGTGGAAATACCACAAGTTAGTCAAATTCTTTGTAACTAGGATAGTTATAGAGTGTCTTGTAATGAGAGCATCACAAGTTAGATAAAGTCTTTGCAATAGAGTTATTGTAAAGTGGCTTGTAATAGGGAGATTGCAAGTTAGTGAAGTTAAAAGCCTACAGGTGTAGGTCGTGGTTTTTTGATCCCCTTGTGTGGGATTTTTCCACGTAAAAATCCTCGGCCTTATATATATTCAGCTTTACTAGCATTCACTGCAGAACCCGATAAAGGACCAGGTACTATACTATTTGGTGGACTCACACAAACTTAGCACTGCACCTAACTGATATAGGACCAAATCGTTATACAGTTTGGTTCATCAGTACTTTCAGAGGAAACACATAGAGAACCCGGTTCTTTATACAGTCTGGTGGACGCACAGTCTATAACAAGTGGTATCAGAGCAGGTTCTTCCTATCAGGCTAACACCTAGGGAGGATCCTCATGGCTGCTCCACCAACTCTTGAAAGGAGAAAAACAAAGAAGGAAAGGTACCGTGTACTTAAAGCCGCTAACAATGATTCGAGTGAGGAAGACAGTTACATGGCTTACTTAAATAAAAGGTTTCAGAAGATGGTCAGAAGAAATGGAGAAGTGCTAGAAAGGGACAGCTCTAACAGATCAAAGAACAATGTTCTTTGTTACAAGTGCGTAAAGGGTGGACACTTCATGAAAAATTGTCCTCTCTTGAACCAAGAATTCTCCAAGAACTTCAAGAGAAAAAGATCAGCTGAATATGACTCAACTGTTGCTTTAATGGCTCGATCAGATGATGATAAAGACGATCACAACAAAGAGGTAAATTTCAGGGATGTTCAGAGAAATCTGAAATCCTATTCTCCAAGAAAGTTCATGTCTTTAGCTAATGTATTAATCAATGCATTTCATAGTCTTGTGGAGGATAGGGATTCTTTGACCTTAGAATTAGCATAATCTGAACAAACTAGAGACGACTTAGTAGCTGTAGTTACTGACCATAAGAGAACCATTGAAACTTTCAGAAAAGAAAAGAATGATCTTTTGGCAGAAATTACAGACCTAAGGAAATCAATAGTGATACCTGAGATTAAGTCAAAACCTGAAAATTCTGGAAAAGGAAAGGAGAGAGCCAGTGAGGAACACATTAGGCTTGAAAATGAGTTGAAAGCTGCAAGAACTAGGATATGTGGTGAACTCGAGAAAAATAGGCAGCTTCAAGCTGAATTGAAGAGAGTAAAAAGTGATCTTGAGAA